GCGCATGGGCTCCTCGGCAACGGGACCCTCGCGGGTAGCCCACTGGAAACCGGAGACAACGGAATCCTTGATTTCGTTGAGGTACTGCACAGCCTTGGTCTGGTCGATGAGCAGGTTGGCACCGGTGGTGTCGGGACCGAAGCACCAAATCTTACGGGCATCGGTGACATCCCAGCCGTACTCGTCAGCGAGGACACGGGCACGAGCCTTGAAGTCGTCACGGGGGCTGATCTTGCCAGACTCAATGGCGAGCGAGACTTCTTCCTCAATAGGCTGGGCAGTCATGTACAGACGGTTGTGCTTGTTGGGCGACTTGGACAGAGCAGTCATGCTGGACTCACCAGCGACGGTCTCACGGTAAGCAACGACGGGGTCGGAGATACGGAGGGGAACACCAGCGTGGTCCTCCTCGAGATCCTTAAGACAAATCTCGAGGTGGAGCTCACCGGCACCGGCAACAATGTGCTGGCCAGACTCGTTGATCATGGTCAAGACACAGGGGTCGGACTTGGAGAGACGCTTGAGACCCTCGACAAGCTTGGGCAGATCCTGGGCGTTCTTGACCTCGACGGAGCGCTGCACGACGGGGGAGACGGAGAACTTCATGACCTTCATGTTGTGGGCGGTCTCATCAGTGGTGAGGGTACCGGACTTGAGCAGGAACTGATCGACACCGACCAGACCGACAATGTTACCGGCGGGGACATCCTCAATGGGCTCAACGAAGCGACCCATCATGAGAATGGTACGCTGGATGGCCTTGATGAAGAGATCCTCCTTGCGGCCGGGGACGTAGTTGGGACCCTGGATGCGGACCTTGATACCGGACTTGACGGTACCGGCGTAGACACGACCGAAGGCGTAGAAACGACCCTTATCGGAGGTGGGCACCATCTTGGAAACGTACAGCATAAGAGGAGCAGTGGGGTCACAGTCGCGGATACCGATGCAAGCCTTGTCGTCGGTGGGACCCTCGTAGAGAGTCTCGGCACGGTACTTCTGGGCAGTGACGGGGGAAGGCAGGTGGATACAGATCATCTCGAGAAGGGCATCAGCGGCAGGCAAGAACTTGCGCATAATGAGCTTGAGGAGGGCCTTGCCCTCGAGGTCCTTCTCATCGTTGGTGAGGGAAACCTCGAGCTTATCGAGGAGGGTGAAGATCTCATCACGCTTGTTGTGGTTGACAGCGGCGAAGATCTTGAAGATGGGGTCCAAGATGAACTGGTTGAAGGCACGCTCGAGCTGCTTGCCCTCGTGCTCACCCTTGTTGGTCCACTTCTTGGTCTTGGGGTTGAAGTAGTTGTCGCCCCAGAGACGCTCAAGCATCTTCTTGCGGTCAACACCGAACTTCTTGGCGTACTTGACAGCGAACTGGCGGACAGTGAAGCACCAGCCGTGGAGACCGGAACCGAAAGCGATGGTGCCTCTGTCGGGGTAGACCTGGACATCACCGAGAGCCTTGTCGAAGTAGGTGGAGATGATGACGTTGACGGACTCGATGGTACGGGAGAAGGACTGGTACAGATCCTCCTTGGAGACCTGGAGCTCGAGGAGAGCACGGTCAACCTTGTTGATGCACAGAACGGGCTTGATGCGCTCGGTCAGGGCCTGACGCAGGACAGTCTCGGTCTGGACACAGACACCGGAGACACAGTCGACAACGACAAGGGCACCGTCAGTGACACGGAGAGCAGCAGTGACCTCGGACGAGAAATCGACGTGACCGGGGGAATCGATCAAGTTGATCAAGAACTCGTCACCATCAACAGCCTGGGGAATCTCCTTAAGATCCTCTGGGTCGGGGAACTTGGCGTACAAGGAGATAGCGGTGGACTTGATGGTAATGCAACGATCCTGCTCATCGGGACGGGTGTCCATGAAACGAGCCTCACCAGCCTTAGCGGCGGAAATAATACCGGCACGCTGGACCAGGGAGTCGGAGAGGGTGGACTTTCCGTGATCGACTAACGCACAGAAACAAAGTCAGAATCAGCCAGTTCACGATATCATTTCATGCCCAGTAAGAACTTACCGTGAGCAATGACGGACATGTTTCGGATGTTAGCCCGACGGTCCATCAGAGACCGGATCTGATCTCGGTTAGTCTCGATATTCATGATGACTTGATGGTTTGTTCCAAGAGAGAAAGGCGTCCAAGCATCACCAGTGGAAGTGGGAGATGGGAGATAGCAGGTGAAGAATAGTAATCGAGGGAAGTACATCCCCTCCTTCCACTGGTAATGGTTGCTATAACCTTGGAAACCTCGAAAGGCAAATACTGACCTCTTCGATAGTGAAGCTGTTCACATCACTGTTAGCTGTATGTTCTTGGAATCGAGGTCTCAGATCTCGACTTACTTAACCATTTTGGCGGTTGATCCTTAGTAAACTAGGATTTTTTTTTTAAAAAAAAAGAGAAGAAGAAGAGCACACAGATGACTAGGACCGAGAGTTCTCGATCACTGAATCAAAAAGTTCTATGTGCAACTGCTCCTGGGGGACAGAGGTAGAGGGGAAAAGAAGAAGAAGAGGGGAAGGGAAAGTGGGAGAGAAAAAAAAGAAAAGCGAAAGTGGGGACTTTTTTTCTCCCGGTTTTGTGCGTTTCGAGCTGACTTAGCCCATTTCCCATATAGAAAACATTAGTATTATTCTCTTTTGTCTTTTTTTTTAATTGCTTAGATTCCTCTCATTTACTTTTCATTTCAGTACTTTTTTTTGATTTCAAATCCTCCATACTTTGTTGTCCTGACTCACTACGCTGACTTTTTTTCGCCATCCGTGGGTGCTCCGGTGACGTTTGACAGCCATATCACAACCGGGAGACGTTCCAACTCCTTTTATAGCTATATTTATAACTTCTTGGTCTTCCTAACAGTTAGAAATGAGTCAATTTAGAGCCTATGATTCACCCCGTGCTTTTGGCTTTCCAAGTTTCTTCGAAATGACTGGACTTCATGCCCAAAACCCCTCTATCAAGGTGGGGCAATGCACATTAGTAAGCGAGTTCAAATTTGATCTCCTTCGGGTACCTAGGTATACAGCTCAAGAGCTCAATGTATGGTACAGCTATATAGCCACTAGTGTATATCAGTATTTAATTCAAAATAGACATACTGAAAAGACTCAATTTGAAAAGAAATCCCATCTCGACATACCTGTCGAGCAAATTTTCAAAGGTTTGCATTACTAGCTCGTGCAGCATGCATTAGTGGGGGGCAACTCATTTAAAAGTGCCAAGGCACCAAGGCACCGCATCATCCCACCTGCATACACCTACAACATACATTATAGCAAGTTGAGTACGGAGTACTCAAACACTAATGAAACCAGCGAAGCTTAAGTCTGTCAAATACTTGATTCCACGGCAAAACTAGTGGATCTAAATATAGTCCAAATGCTGGGAAGCCTTTCAGCCCGAGTATCCCAGTGCCCAGTCCCAGCAATCACCCCAGCCATAGGTAAAATATAGAACCGTGTGATTCAGCGGGTATTTCTCGACCTGCTGAAACAATGCACATGGCAAGACAACCACAAACTTGCATCGCGATAGCCAAAGATCCGGTGAGCAGCTTGACTTCGGAAGAAGAGAAAAGCTCGTCGTTCGCCGTCTTTCAAAGAAACCGGAGAAAGGCCGTGCTGCAGAGGGGTTGGATAGCCCTCGCAAGGCCTTTTCGTCGTGACACAGCGCAGACAGGACGGCTTTTGCTCATCACATTTGATACGCCTACATTACGAGATGATTAGTCGTGGGCAACCCATATAACCCGTTATGATGCGAACACACCGAGACCTGGGTAATGCAATGATCAAGAATAGCTTTCGCAAGTTGGTATAGGGGGTTTTACTTGCAGTTGAAGCAGCCGCTTCGCGTCTTCCGTTTTGATAGTACACTTGAACTCGTGGCATTCATGACAAACCCTGAGCTGCAGATGAGATGGGGATATTCAGCCGTGAGCAAACGGGTCACTGGCCGAAAGAGGTCAGCAATGGCAAATGCTGGACCTGAGAGTGACGACTGTTCTAATCTTTCTCCTATTTGATATTATTTGAATTCTTTTCCCTCCTTGCTTTGGTATTTGCCGTGTTTGATACACTAGGAAGTGGTTCCGACGCGAGACAAGAGGCGGCTTAGCGCTCCCGGGATGGTGACCAAGCCGGGAAGGATTTCAGATCCCGGGGATTTACATGCTCTTCTCGAAAATGAACTTTATATCGGTCTACATGGCGTACGGGATCACAATATTATCTACTTATATAGAAGCTGTGGGCTTCCCTGAAGGGACCTTCATCCCTTTTGACTCTCCTTCCGACATATCATACTACATCCTCAAGTCCCTTGTCATCTCTTTGACGTATTTCTAAGAAGTATGGTGATGGAAAGGCTACGCAAGGAGGAATAGAGAAAACTGCGATGCATTCCGAGTGAAGCCCTCGGAGAGAGAGAAGAAGAGAGAAAGGGAGAGGGAGAGAGCTCTAACTAGCTAACAGGCAAACAGGATCTGTCCCAACTGATGCCTGACCCGTCGGGCATCAAACAGATGGAGTTTAACGTAACTTATAAGATCGTTCAGTATGGGCCTCTCGGTATTTGTGCTAGGATATGTGTGTAGAATGCTTCTCATGTACTGCTGGTGTGGAAGCTCGCCCCTTCCATGGCTGCCGGTTACGCCCATTTGAAGTCTAGTGGGAAGTTTCAGTACGGTGATCCCATTAAGTATGCTGGCTTTCCACCCAGGGTAATCAATATCCGCACCCGTGGACCGGTGACGGTAGAGTGGGTTGGCTACCTTCGGTCAAAGACAATCCATATCGGCATAAATATGCCAATGAAGAATGATTAATGATTCGAGTCGAAATAGGTACGTTATTTAAGAATTTCAAATGTAGAATCCAGCGTCTTTTTCTAACCCAACACCTGGGCTCGTGGCACTTGAACAATAAAAATCGCCAGATACGAGAGTAAAGACAATCAAGGCAAGCATTGATCTGATCCGGTGAGGTTAAATCTTGACCTTCCATTTCCAGCGCCAATCCAACACCGCCCAACGCGATAGTGCTACACCGATCAACCCAACAAACAAAATAGCGGAGTAGAATCCAATGAGAACCTGGGGAGTCGTTGATTGAAGCAATTTGCCCCCGACGGGCACCGTGAGGAGGACTCCAAACGCGGCGACACTGTAAATTGTTCCATAGAATCGACCATACTCTTCAGTTTTGCAAAGTTGTCCTGCCTACACAAATTATTAGCTTCATCTATTCAAGGCCAGGCAGGTCTTTCGAAACCGCAGTATTGGGTTAGAAATAATGGAGTTGAGGGTCTGGAATAGGGGGAAGATAGGGGAGCATACACAAACAGGGGCCAACGATAACCATCCACCAGAGCCAAAGCCGAATATCGCAACTACGGCATAGAGCGTGGCCTCGTTATGGGATCCATATGGGAGCGAAAGTCCTGCCATAATTATTAAGGTGAGACAGACCATGGACAACAAGATGTTGAATCTCCCAACCTGATCGGCAGCAAACCCGGGTAGGACTCTGCCGAACAGACTCATTCCATTCGACAGCGTCAGCGAGTAGAACTGAAGATCTTCTGAGAAGCCAGCATAGCGCACATATGTGGGGAGCAGGGCCGCACAACCAAATATAATAAATTCGAATGAGAAAACAGCAACCGCAAGAAAGCAAAGCCGGGGTGAAGCCAATGCTCGGATGTCAATGGTTACCCTGATTTTGCTACTAGATGGAAGTCTTCCCTTTACCAAGAACACACCTAGGGTGTAGCACCCTAGAGCCATAAAAGCAATTATGCGCATTTTCCAGAGCCAATCATACTTTTGAAAGAGTGTTCGGAGAAGCAAGGGAATGATCGCTCCACCGGTCGATGATCCTGCCATGCAAATTCCAGATGCCAAGGCACGGCGCCGATAAAACCAGTGACTCAGAACCGAAATTGAAACGGTAGTAATAACGGCAGATGAGACACCCCCCAGAATCCCAAGACAAAGCATGAAGTGCCAATACTCTGTGCATTCTGCCAAGAGCATATAACAAGCAAAATTCGCAAGGCTACCGACTATCAGGAGGACCTTTGGTCCATACGTATCGAAGAGCGGCCCGACTTGAACTCCCAGGAATAAAGTCAAGAACACAAGCACAGCTGTGATCCATCCGACATCACTGACGCTATAATCAGCGAGCTGATGAGTATTGATATAGTCCTGGACTGATCCAACTGCGCAAAGTCAGTTTAATGAACAAGAGCGACTTTGCTTCGGCTAGTTCCATACCGGCGGTTTGAAAGCCAAACGAAGGAAACATCATCAAAAATGAGCTACTATCTTAAGGATACCTACATATGTAGTGTATGAAGTACCTGTCTAGGTGCGGCCCGACCCGAGTAATAACAATTAGTCAACCGTATTTTCCCGGGGTATGATTATAAAGCCCTGGAGATCTTAAGGCGCCAACTGATAGATCATAAAAGCACTCCTACGCCATGTGACTAGAAAAGAATGCAATTACTCTGTATTACTCAGTCTGTATGTCCACCAAGATATAGGATTATCGGCATGTAGTGTTTGATCTGCTTCTATCCTGCAGATTTGGTGTTGTGGCGTACCTGGAATGTCGTTCTATCCCTTGCTTTGCTCTGCGCTAGCATTTATGTGACCGGATTGATATCCTATAGTAGACCTCTGACACCATCATGATACTTGCTCAACCAGAGACTTCGACTTTTCCGAACTGACAATTTGAAATTATTTCTTACCTTCGTGGAAGGTCAAAAAAGCCCTTCGCAATTACCGGCGGCGGTAGGATTCCAGCAACCGAGACATTTTGAAGGGGAATCCTGCAAACATAAGCGTCCAATAAGAAAGATTTACTAACCAGCCCCCGGGCTTTTGCATAAAGCCTCTCTACTAGAGTGCCTGAGAAAGGGTACAGTGCTTATGTGCGGAGATGCGGATACTTTCGCAGACGCACAATATCACATCCCACACCTAAGAAGACCCTAGGGAAACATTCCAGAAAATAATGACTATGTCTCTCATTCAACTGTCGATATTTATAAAAAGGAATAGCAGAAACATCTGACCTTGTTCACTCGCTAGTTGTTGTCAACCCATTTCCCGTGCAGACCAGCTCTGTGTCTGAAAGGAAGCATGATGATCGCCCGGGTCTCGGTGAAAGAAGACGCAGCTCACTGGACAGTGTGCGATAGTTGTTTATCAATTCCATCAAATATCTATCACCTTCCTCCGTAGAGCTCGCACGAGGAATGAAACCGGGTTCTTGCATGAGATGTGTGCGTCCCAAGAAGTAAACTTCTGTTTTCCCCGTGCTCTCATCATAATGTGCTAGCGAGTTATAAGGAGGATATCTACCGCTCATGATTGGGGCGATGGCTGCAAAGTCCGTTCCCAGGTGGGGGTCCATGAGATCAAAGTAGCTGTGGATACATTTTCTTCACAGAAAACAGATCATCAATACGGTAAAATTCTGAATTTCCATCGCGCAAAACGTCCGGCTCGGGAAGGTGTCCTTCTTCCGCATTAGGGTTCACAGTAAAGCGTGTCAATTGAGAGTGGATCTTGCTAGGCTCAGGTCACCTGTCACGGAGTCCGACATCGAAGACAATCTTCCCGTCATCTTTCTTATAGGCATTGGCGGTATGGCCGGGGAATGAATTTTTGTATATGAATCACTGCAGATGGCTTGTGAGGAAATAGTAAAACGACAAGATTGGTTGTAGAAATCCGCTTACCTTAACATCTGAAGACTTAGATCCATAGCGGTGATCACTCCAATATAGAAGGGAGTTCAGAGGTCCATTGCAAGTGTTCTCCACCCTGCTTCAATCGTTCAAGGTCACATAACTGGAATCAGAGGGAAAAGAACCCGAGACAAACACCCTTGATTAGATGCCGATATCTCGCTAATAATCGGTATGAAATAGTAGCAGTCGCCTAGTTCTCCGTCAGTGCGAAGTCATAAATCATTCCACAGACAGGACTCACTAGCCAAACTGTCTTGGTGAACTTACCGCTGGGGCCGATGGTATAATAGCGAATATCGGGGCTGCCGTCTCCCTTGGCTTCGTAACCAAAACAGACCAATTCTCCAGTCACTGGGTCGGTCTTAGGATGGGCATTGAAAGTCACGCTGGGAAGCTGGCCATCAAAGGTATACAGGCCCTTTGTTTCCAGAGTTAAGAGCCAAGAGCTGGCCGTTGAAGCTGGCAACATTGGTATTGGCAGTACGTGTAACGGTGAATTCCACTGCATCGGTGAACTTATTCTGATATTTTTTTCTGATTGAAAATAGTTGCTTAGCCTGCTCTATAATGTATCTAAAGTGGGAGATAGTTGCCACGTGCCTTGGAAAATCCGTACCAATGAGCGCGCGGCGGGCTGCCCTCTCGCGTACAGACTTCTCGGTGCGAACCTATTTACAGGACCGCTCTTGATGCGGAACGCGCTAAAATTTCCATCTCCATTGAACCACTATTTCTCTGGATGTCAGGGCACCAAATTGAAAGCGGAATGGTAAGATTAGGTGGATACATACGGGATCATCGTCGATGAAAGGGGAACTGAGGATCAGGCATGACACGGTAGAAAGAACCATGATGTCATTTGGAAATCTCCAAGCGGCTCTAGATTTTGAACATCGCCCTCAAATCGGCATGGCTTCATAAAGTCCGAGAATTGAGAGCGGTCAGGAAAATGCTGGGAAGCAGGCCATTTTTGATCTAAATTTTGAAGAAGATAATTTCCAAGCGACATGATAAGAGGTTAAAGAGGATGAAATACGTTTTGTTTCACCTTAGGCGCAAGGCCCCAACGAGGAACGGAAATTTGAAATAGTTCCCAGGAGAACCCTGAGGGCGGCCCGAAGAACCTCCACGCTATACACTCGGCGAGATGTCGGCTACCGTCTGGCAACGAGCTAATAACAACAGCTGTGAGGTGAGAGAATGGAAGGCAAAAGTTGAAACAATTGATCTAACGCAGGCTTTCTATCGTGATTTAATTCCAACTAGCAATCCTTAGGCGGATTCTCCTCAGACACCATGTTATTGGGATAACAGAAACTGAGCGCTCAATGAGTTTGTTTGTGACGAACTCCAAGACTACCTAGGCACAGGCCTAAACATATGCATCTATGGATGTATGATTGATGGCCCTATCAACCCTAATTATCTGTCGATTTAACAGGGTTTTATATTTCACACTAGCTGTAGTGTTTCTGCATTGAACTATATCTTATGTCATATTACCGGACTACTAGGTATTTCCAATGTCGGAAGGGTTGTACATGAGTGTTTGTAGAGCAAAGAAAGAAAAAAAGCGCAAGCGATAAGCCTTGACGATAAGCGATAAGATCTGTTCAACCTTGGTTGGAAATTCATCGAATTATCAGCCAAGATCACGATAAGGGCGTATATATCACGTGCCGCAATATGGCCAACGACATCTGGCAACTGGTCTTCATCGCCCTGTTCTCCAACATATCACCACGTTTGAAGCCTATACTATCTTTGTTGGAAAGCTGTATGTGAATCAGGCACTGGCATCTGAGATATTCGTCTCAGCACCTTAGGTCACCCGTCAAAACCCGCTTGCCGCTGCGAAACATTCCATAGGGCAAATGGAGACGCTCAGCGTGTCTCGACTATATGGACTTTTAAGATCGCTCATGTGTTGAGGTCTCGGCGTTAGATTAAATAAGCGATCAGGTAGGCTCCGCGATGGATCGCGACACGATGGCTTTCATCCTTTCTACTTTCTCCCTTGAACCCCGGACTCGATTAATATACCGTCTGAATCAAGGATCGGAATGGCTGACGAGTCTCCCAGTGTCTACAACCTAATTGAGGAGCTCGGCTTCCTTCCAAGCGAGCACCAATTCTTGATTCGTCTTTTCAGCTCATCCGACCCATTTGCGGGCCTCCCTAGCTCAGACATAGACGAAAATCAATCTGGCCAGCTCAGCTCTACCAGTACTGCTCGCAGACTCGCATCTACTAGGCTCTGGCAAGATATTTTCCCGCTTACTGGTGAATTTCCCTGACTAACCTGCTGCCCCCGCAGTGAACGCGCCAATCAGTTTCGTCTACGATCCATTGAACGTCGTCCTAGTGACTTTCGCGAAGGTTCAGGAGGAAGAGATCTGGTTCACTACGAACGAGAGTGGACTTCCCTCATCGGCACTGACTCGGAATCTCTGTTCTCAGAGTTACTCCAACAGCTTGCAACGGAAGACGTACCACCCTGCCTCGAGTCCCCTGAGCTTCACGAACACCCTAACGCATCGGAGAACGTTGTACGCCCCGGATCCGTTGAACCTGCAAGCTCTTCAGTCTACAGCGAAACAGGTGAGCCACCCGAATCTGTTGATAACATCAACGAGACCCCTGGCGCCCAAGGCAATTGCGAAGAATCCCAGGACCCGAGGACTTTAACCCACCCTGGAAGCTTTGAGCGGCTACTTGAATCATTCCCAAGACCTCCCGGTCGCAACCAAAGGGTCAGGGAGCAAAGTTTCTCCCACATTTCTTCTGACGCCCAACAAGTGCCACCGAAAGACAGTGCCCAGGCTAATACCTCGACGCTCGCCAACAGTCAGATCGAACCTGTATCCAGCCTACCTCGGATTTCCCGATTCTCGGAAGTTTTGGGGAATAGTAACCCGATCGGAGAGCAAGATTCTGCCAGCATCTGTGCCAAAACTGATACATCTGCACACGACAACAGTGGGCTAGGAAATACCTCAACTAGTCCTCCTGGAATTTCCCCGCCGTCTTGTAACGACACTTCAACGGTCATCAGCACTCGAAACATCTCCCCTCAGATTCCTTCGCTGCTTCCTAGCGCCTCTTTCAGAGATTCACGTCTCCCCATTGACTATCAGGAGGGACAACAAGTGAGTGTCGAAAGCCCCCACCAGGCTCAGGGGCGCGGAAATCGATACACCATTTTCCCTGGATATCCCCCGCGAGTTCGTCCGATTGGCTACGTGATCAGAAAGCAGCACTCCTTCCGCACTATCTTCGAAGGGTGCCCCTCACCTAGAGATTCCCCTCGGTATTACCAGAAGTCGCCTCTGCGTATCTCTACTCGCCCATCCACAATCTCTTTCAACTCGGGAAAGAAGAGCACACCAAAGCACAAGAGAGTCTTGAAGCGCTTTGGTAGAAGGCTCAAACACCTGCTCTGTTCAACCCCAAAACGCACTCCATCTTCTCTCAATCATTAAGTCCTAGCCAGAGAAGTCAAATATCTTTACACTGCCTTCACAATCGCCTCACCCAGCCCCCGTCTCTATCTTTACTCCTTGCTCACTTTACGCCCGTATCATTCTTACAGCTATCTTACTTAATGATCATTCTAACATACTTCACACCTGGCTCATTTCAAGCATATCTTCACTCACAATGGATTCTCAAACATCTCGTCTGTTAGACCCATCCTCTGCCATGGCGGCCATTACCAAGCACAAGGCGGAAGCGATCAAGCTAGCTCGTGAACAAGGTGTGGCTGTCCAAGAGATGTGTCGTCGTGCGAAAACTGAGGTTCCACCATACGAGTTTGAAGAATTGATAGGCAAAGGTGCTTATGGTCGTGTTTACAAGGGTCGCCAAAGGCCGTTGGGTCGGCTGGTTGCCATCAAAGTCCTGGATATTGACTCGCTAGACTACAAGTCGGTTCGAGATTTCAGAGATGAGTCAATAAAAGACTTCATCCATGAGACCAAGGTGATGAAGCAAGTGAAGGATTCCGGTGCCAAAAATATCAACGAAATCATTGAAGCCATCTCCATTCACTCTCAGTTGTGGCTGGTCTGTGAGTACTGTCCCGGTGGCAGTGTCCGTACATTGATGCGTGCAACAAACGACAAGCTTGATGAGAAATACATTATTCCGATCGCTCGCGAGCTCGCTATTGGACTTCACGCAATTCACGGCGCTGGGATCATCCATCGCGATGTGAAAGCTGCAAACATTCTTGTTCATGAAGAAGGTCGTCTGGAGATCTGTGACTTCGGTGTTGCTGGTGTTCTCCAATCACAGCGAGACAAACGATCCACCTGGATTGGTACACCACACTGGATGCCGCCAGAGATGTTTGCAACTCGCGGAGAGCCCCATCAATACGGGAATGAGATCGATGTGTGGGCGTACGGGTGCACACTGTTTGAATTTGCGAACGGGAACCCGCCAAACGCAGGCCTGCGAGAACGAATGCAAATCGGTCGCCAACTAAATCGCAAGACTCCCCAGCTGGACAGCGATAAGTACAGCCAAGGCTTGAAAGACCTTATTGCCTACGCTCTGGACTCTAATCCAGACACCCGCCCCACGATGGCAGACATTCTCGCCCACCCCTACATTGCCGATACGGAAGAGAAATATCCGACTGCCTCTGTGAGTGAGCTGGTGAGAAACTATTACCAGTGGTCCCAGCGAGGAGGCCAACGGATTTCTTTGTTCCACCCAGGCGGCGCCGCGGCAGCTGAACTCCCAGGCATCGAGGAGTCAGAAGATGACTGGAATTTCAGTACAACAGATGGTTTCGAGCGAAGATTTTCTGTCATAGACCTGGATGAAATTGCGGCCTCGCTAGCGGAGATGGAGAAGTCAATCAGTCCTACCGACATAACGCCTGAGCAGGACATGTACGAAAAGTTTTCGGAGGACGATCTTAACTATGAAGATAAAGCCAATTTCGATGAGCGTGTGCGCCGCGGCGCAGTGGCAATGGAAGGCCTGTTTGACGAAGAAAAGCCCAGCTACAAATACGAAACGAAAAATGACTTTGTCCCTATCGAACCCGAGCAGCCCACTTCAGATCTTCCCCTTCGTGCGGAAACAGACCGTTCGTCTGTCACGTCAACTTTTCTCGATATCGACATCGGGTCATTCGAGGCGTCGCACTACGCAGCAGGAGCTCCATCAGCGCAGCCTTTCCAACTGGTCGACGCAGACACTATCCGAGCGAACCGTTCCAGTCTTCGATTGAACAGGACCTCCTCTGAGAATAGCTCAAAGTCGTCTGATAGCCGCGCGAATGACGTTGAAAATCTCGAAGATACGTTTGTACCATCTGGTCCTCGACCTCCCACTATGGACTGGAAATTCCCGTCGTTTGTACAAGATGAAGATGAACAACCGGAAGAAAAAGAGGAGGGAGTTCCTGCACAGGAGCCCATAAAAGAGGAGTCCTTCCAGGCTGAGAAGCGAGCGACAATGCAGTGGACATTCCCAGTCATGGGTTCTGTACCCGAGAGCGAAAGCTACGATGACCGACATGACACCCTCCGGGCTCCGCTGCCTGAGGTTCAGCCTCCGCCGCAGTCGCAGCCTCCGCCAGCGGATGAACCAGGCGACTCACGTCCTTCGACTTCGGCATCAAATACTTCCGACTCAGATTACGACCCCTTCCGCTTCGATCGCCCGACCACCCCCCAGGGCGCAAACTCGGTTCATCACAGTCATTTCTTCGACACGGAACTGCCCGCGATGATGGAATTAGCCGGTTACAATGAATATGAGGCTTCCGGAGTCCTCGATGGCCCTGGCCCAGACGAAGAATCTCACCCTGTATGGAAGGTGCACTCCAGGACTTCCTCATACGAAGATAGTATGACAGCTTTACCCACCGCCATTCCAGTTCCCCAAACCCCCACTGCTTCCTCGGTGACTTCAGGCCCGGTCTCGGAACCGGGATCTCCCGTGTTCGAAACTGTACGAAATGTACGACATGACGTATCTGAAGCTCCCATGACACAGGCGGAAGATAAGGGACCAATCCTCTTCCCAGCTCTCGATCCCCCAAGTGCGGCAAGTCTGATGGAGGGTATGGACGATGGTGTGGTGACAGCAGAACTTGACCGTTTACTGGCTGATTTCTTAGAGTCGCTTTCGGCAACAGGTGAGGCGTTGTCACGGGCCGAGATCAAGCATGAGACGAATGGCGTTCAGCTTGTTGAGCAGGTCTAGATGACCAGTATGGACATGTGGGATATTATTACTGGCAAATATCCTTAGTCGGAAGCCATGTCAGGAGGCCCAGACATGTGGGATCAATGAGATCCAAGCTAAACTTCCAGTAGCTAATATTATGTTCGCTTTGCATTTTATGTTCACGTAGATTGCCAAGAAAAGGAAAAAAAGAAGACGCTGTAGGCACTGCTTCCTAGCTGCTGGAGGCAAAGATACTTTCTGTGATTCCTGTGAAAATACTTGGAGCTACCTCTTAGCCTTGAGTGTCCCGGGGGCTGGTCGAGCCTAGTGAACATGACTGAATGAAGTAGAAGCATGAGCACTGTGAGCGAACTTTGGGTATCTCAAAGCACTAGACACTGGACTTGTCTGGCATACTCTGGGTATCTCAAGTGGCCGAGTCCAGGCTTTCATCTTTTCTCCCTTCATCCTGTCTGGTGTTTATCTCTTCCTCTTCCTTCATCCACATGTTCCCTCTGCTTCCAAAATGACTTCCCATTCCTCGCATACCTCAGAAATGCCATCAGAGACCTTGCCCTTTGCTGTCTTCTCTCCTCCACAGAATCCCTTCGAATGGGAGAAAGCCCTCCTCAATGTGAAATGGCTATGTTTCAACCAGCAATACAAGCAATGTGCCTTGCGTTGCAACCAGCTCATAGACACGGCGTCTAGTCCGGTTTGTGCTCCACAGATCTCATCTCAAATTCTCATCGCTGACAGGTTTATATACAGCTCCATCCGATCCGTGCGACATACCTGCACTATTATGCAGCCACCTCATATGAGTATATGGGACGAGCAGCTCACATATTTTCGACTGTGAAGGTCCCGCTTCTGACTTCTGCTATGGAGCAATTTCAGTCTGCCTATGAGTCTTTGCCAGCTACTATCCCACCCCCCGTTCTGAATCCCAACCAGACCTACTCGCCGGTTACTTTTCTCCATTCGCCCAACTCGTCTCCTCGGTCTCCCCTGACTACTGTCGTGTGGAGCCCTGGGCTTTCCCCGACATATGGTGTCTCTTCTGGTTCTTGTCCTGATCCAACTGCTGAAGCTCTGTCAGTTCAGAATCTGTCAGCTCATAATGCTAGGCTGGCTCACACTCCTCCTTCGCCTGCTCCTTCTCCCTCTTCCCCTTCAAACTCATCTATTACCACTGCCTTTTGTGTGACGCCACCTCCTTCTGCTCGAGAAGTCTCACTTGACTATGACGGTCCTCCCCCAGCTTTTCATATCCCGCCTCCGACCCGTGAGCCCCCTCCTCCACCACGCGGCATTCCTGCTCGCCCGGCTACAAGAGACCAGTTGCTCTCTTTTAATAGTGCCAGAGATGGGCTTCCCAACGGGGGATCTGTCGTCCGAAGCATTGCCCGGATGATTGATAACTCTATTATCGCGGGAGCCGACGACCCTTTTGTGACCCGCGCGCCGCCAAACTTTCGCGCTCTAAAGCAGCCGCCAGTGCGTCTATCTCCGATCAAGTTTCCAGCTGAACTTGAGGATCCAGCAAAGCGTAGCGAGCTCATTCCATCCCCGCTTGCAATCCGGAAGAGCTCCGGTGAGGTGCATATGTGCAGCAGTTCTGAAACAGTAATCTATGGGGGTTCAGAGCAAGAAATGTCTTGGAATGAGGTGAATCGACCGGTCCGAGCTCGCCCTCCCCGGCTGCCCTTGAAGATAATCCCATCCGGGCGTCTGAATGCTAACACGGAGGAGACAAACTCTTCAATCCTAGCACCGCAGCCGAAGCGTCTTAGTCCCGTCCTTCCTTCGCCCATGACCCTGCCTCCATCGACGCCCACCCCCGTTCTGAGAAGGAAGATCGCCCCCCTCGGCTCGCCGTTCGCCAGCCGCGCAGGCTCACCAGAGCAGAAAGGCACCAAGTCGCCCTCGTTGGGATCGAGAAAGCCCTCCCCCGTGCCTGTCAGCGCCGAGCGCGCCGCCCAGATCAATGAGTTCAACGACGCCGTTAAGTGGCTCCGTGAACACATTCCCAACGACGTTACCGGGCTCCGCAAGCAGATCAAGCATGTGTCGGACCTGCAGCAGGCCCGTCGCTCTCGCAACACAACAATGGCTAGATCTGCCTCCTTCTGGACTTTTTCTCCCGTTAAGCCTAAACCCGGCTCCGGTGCATCCCAGGAACATCATGTGATCGAGGGGCCTAATATTGATGGGTATGGAAATGTTATTCGGGTTGAGACTAAGGCGCAGCGTATTAAGCGGCTCAGGGAAGAGGATTGGAGGATTGGTATTCGGTCGAAGCATAGTCACTGGAAGGGGACTGATTACTACGATAAGCTTTGCGAAGTTGCTTTGGCAGAGCTTGGTGAGACAGGTTACGGATCCCGCGAATGGCTGCAGCGGTGAGACCTTACTGCTTATTCACTTGCTGGTGTCTTTTTTGATTATTTTCTCTTTTTTTTTGTTCTGCGTTTTGCGTTTTGCGTTTTTCTTTTTCGGGGTTGAGTGTCGTGCAAGTGCGTATGCAGTTGCATGGCATTGGAACTATTCGATTCAAGATTCTTGATGGTTATTGCGTTGCTCAATCTGCCCGGGTGGCTGACAAGTCGGATCATGGGTATCACCATGATCTGCATTTGATCATCTTGGTTGCGGATCGAGATCGTTTGGTGGAGTTGAGTATGCCATCTGGTATACTGGAAAAGAACATTGTTGCGCCTTCGTTCACTTGGTTTGATACGGAAGATCACGATATCGATGGACAAAGGTCGCCTTGAAACATCCCCATGGTTGGATCTGTTTCTTAATCTTAATCTTAATCTTAATTTCAACAATCAAAAGTCAATCTTGTTATTCTTGTCCTTCCTAACAGCCAATCCTTCAAAGACCTTTACTCAAAAATACCGAACCAAATCCTTCTCCCAGACCTCCTTTTCCAAACATGTCGCCCAGTTGATCCCCGAGGTGATCTTGAATCTTGCTTAGATTCTGGTCCTCGGTAAGTTTCTTGCCAGTTAGACTTTCTGCGCGTAAATTCCGATTAGTATACTTGTTTTTCTTTTCCTCTTTCTCTCTTTGATATATCATACTTTTCATTCCATAGGACACTTTTGTCTCGCCCATATAGTCCAGCAAAAGCTGTTGAAGCTGCTTCTGGTATGGGTCTAGATAACCAGAGACCCAGGCGGCAAGTAGGATTACCTGGAAGGTAAGGAAGAAGAGGAAGGATAGCATGATTGAAAGTTTAGGTTCCTGAGGATATTATAGCAAGTCCCAAGTCTAACAGGAAACAATATCTGGTTGCAGTTTATATATTCATATACCTCTGGCGAAGCCTATGACGTAGGGTGACGATGTGCCACACAGGCACGGTGGGGTCGGGATGCTTCCAAGCTTATTGCCAATCAGGGAAGGGCTTCAATGTTCTTATATTAATTTTAATTCGCTATTGGCATGTTTCAAATTACACAGTCATTCTTTTCTCTGCTTCTGATTGTCCATTGTCCAAAGTAGTGTTGGAATGAATCGGCTTTGTGGCTCTAAATATATTCACTACAGCTGTTGCAGCTGTTATTTGTGTCCTTACCTTTAACTATAAAAAGTACACAAAGTATATCTTTACCCTTCAGGACAACTGTGCGTCCACGTAGTGCGTTGTGAACAGTAGCATCTCCCCAGAGTCACATGCAAATAGATCTACGCTGTAATGTTAACTTCCTAAAAGTCTTTATCGTTTGGTTCGTCATTTTTTTCTCCTCATGGTTTTCTCCTTTTCTTATTTAATCCTATTATTATGCTATGCTATTATATTAATTCATATAGACTACTCTGTAAGTCTTGAGGCAGTAACATTCCCGTTGTGGCTGTGCTGGCGCTAAACCCTACCCCGAATCAAAGCCTTATCGCGCCTAGAACTCCTGATCTTCCAAGGCTCCCTCCTCTTCAGCACTTTTTTTTATCTTTCTTTAAATTCATCAGCTTCAGCTGACTTACAATTGATCTGCGATCTCTGACATTTTGGTCTGCGTGTGGTATGTCTACTCCATTGGGTTCTGTTTGGAATCTTCATGCAGCCACCCCCGCGCTTGGTGACCCCTCGAATTTGGCGTTTCAATATTTTCTACATCACTAACCCTGTTCTCTTGCTAGAACCATTTCATTTTCGATTTTAAAAGCCTCAATCCTTGAATCCTCAAACCTCTTCTTCGTTCTAGTCCCTGCTGCCTAACGGGTTCCGTGCCCATTCGAGCCCATCGCACCGTCTGCCACCTTAGGCGTCTGCAGCCCTATCCCCACATCATGAGTTGTGAGTCGATATTCCATATTTCTTGGGACTTTTGTTCTCCGTTCAATCCTGCTATGATTCGTTATTTGGTGTTGCCCGAATATTGTCCGGCTTCAAGTCTGCCTTGTCCGCAATCACTGCGTTGGAATTGCCATGTCGATCTACACGCTCCCTATGAGCTCTCTGTGGAATATATGGGGGCTGGGAGGACTTGGACTTCTAGCTGTTATTTTGTTCATGGTCTGCTTCGCCATTTCTAACCCCTCCTCGCTCGGTCGGCTCCTCCAGGGGTCCCTTGCTTCATTTGTTTTGCGCGATTCGTCTGACAGGCCCCGCAATGTACTGACGCTCACTCTCCTAGTCGCAAACATGCTCAACAAGCTGTCCGGGCAGCCGGAGAGCTACGAAAAGAAGTACAGCCTCCTTATCCTAGCTCCCTTGCCCCGCACTCACTGACCTGTTTTTCGCCGGCTATAGGGCTCTCTATAAATTCGGACGCACACTGGGTGCAGGTACATATGGAATTGTTCGTGAGGCGGAAGGCACCGAGCAACAAAAGGTTGCGGTCAAGATAATTCTGAAGAAAAATGTCCGTGGCAATGAGAACATGGTGTACGATGAGCTTGAGATGCTGCAATCACTCCAACATCCCCATATTGTCTCTTTCGTCGACTGGTTCGAATCTAAGGTGAGAATGTCTTTGTTTGATCTGATCGCTATGGGGCTCTAACTGTGTGCCTAGGACAAATTCTATATCGTTACGCAGCTAGCCACTGGTGGCGAGTTGTTCGACCGGATCTGCGAGTATGGCAAGTTCACTGAGAAGGATGCGTCGCAGACCATCCGCCAGGTCCTTGATGCCGTGAACTATCTGCACAAGCGCAACATCGTTCACCGAGGTCGGTCCCCTTGAGCCATACTAGCGCTTTACATGTAACTAACTCTTGCGAAGACTTGAAACCCGAGAACCTCCTCTACCTCACCCGTGCCGCCGACTCTCAATTGGTCTTGGCAGATTTCGGTATTGCGAAGATGCTGCACAGCCCCTCTGAGGTACTGACCAGCATGGCCGGTTCCTTTGGATACGCTGCCCCCGAGGTCATGCTCAAGCAGGGCCACGGCAAGGCTGTCGATATGTGGTCGCTCGGTGTCATCACCTATACCCTCCTGTGTGGCTACTCCCCCTTCCGATCCGAAAACCTGACCGACCTTATCGAAGAATGCCGGACAGGGCGTATCATCTTCCACGAGCGGTACTGGCGTGACGTGTCCCAAGATGCCAAAGATTTCATTCTCACTCTCCTGAATGCGGACCCCAGCAAGCGAGTTTCCTCCGAGGAAGCTCTCATGCACGTATGGCTGACCGGAGAGACTGCGAGCGACCGTGACTTGCTGCCTGAAATCCGCACCTACATTGCACGTGCCCGTCTCCGCCGCGGAATCGAGATCGTCAAGCTCGCCAACCGTATCGAGTCGCTCAAGATGCACGAGGAGGAGGATGGCGAGGATATCCCCAGCCCCATGGACATGGGCGGCTCATCTGAAGAGCCAAGTGTGGAGGAACCGTCAGCTCCAAGTGACGATGCCAATCCTGCCAGTCCTGCCAGTCCTGCCTCTGGCCACGCGAAGAAGAAGAGTCTGGCTAGCGCTGCTCGCGGTGCTATTTTCCGTGAAGTTGTTCTGGCCAAGGTCCGTGAGCAGAAGGAGGCAGAGGAGCGGGAGAAGGTTGAACGTGAAGCCCGTGAGAAGGCTGCTTCTGCGTAAATTATTTACCGTCTTTATTTGTCTCTTTTACATACGTCTTGTTCATATGCTGTTCCTATGTCTATCCTGCCCTGTACTTCTCTTTTATCTGCCTGGCGGTCTCTTGGATATAATTCTGTGATTCCCATTCTTCCTAATCAATCAGACATCGGGAGTGAACATACATTTTTCAAGTAATCATCGCGCTTGCTTTGTCTTATTTGATATATTTACTTTTAAGTTTAATATCCCGACAGCCACAAATTCTCCAAAGTATAATGACCTCTCCTATATTCCAAGCTTAGGGAGATATCTAAGCAGACATCTAAAAAATACCACCGAAAGAGACATGAAGGCCGCATAAGTTGCCGACTACCTATTCTTGTTCGCTGATACATAATAATTGCGTTGCTGCCTACATGTATGTAGCAACTATATAACTTGAACCCGCTCACTCTTGTCATGTTTCACACTGCCAATCTCGAGTATAGGAAAATTGAAATGTCTATGACAAAATAGAAACCAAATATCAAAGTAGTATGTGACATCCATGCCATGGATGACCCAATATATACATAGTCAGGTGTCGATATCACGTGTATTGATAGATACTCTCCCCACTTAGCTGTAAACTGTCACTTATGATCTTTTAACAATATCTCTTCTCTTTTGGCCATCTTATATCCTTTACTTCTTTGGTTCATTCTCATCTCACTTGTTGAGAAGTTCATCACATTTCCGTCCTTAACGTCATACATCCGCTCTACTCCACCTAATCGAGACACCGCCCCTCCCCGAGGTCTTTCTCCACCGGAGCTCAAACATCTAAATCTTTTCTTTCGCCACATCGCAACAATGTTCGCTACAAAGCGTCTAAGCAAGGTGATTATACTCTGAACCTGAAGGGTGCTGGAATGCCTATCTTGCTGACTCTATATCCATGAATTATAGGAGCTCGTTAAGGTACCAATCCCTCCATTTTCTTCTCGGGCTTATCGCCTTTGTTGCCCCGCATACCTTGGGAGCATACCATAGCGCCCATGCATATTGTTCATTCAACGAACGTGTTTCTCTGACCTTTGACCTTCCAGATGCAAGAGCATGTCCCACCGGGGATTGCAATCGTCAAGTGTGACAACCTGGAAGAATGGCAGATGGACATCAAGATCCTTGACCAGAATCCACTTTATCTAGACCAGACTTACCGGTTGAAGTTTACATTCAGTAACAAGTACCCCATTGGTAAGCCCCATCTTCTCAGCCTCCAGCCTCTATCTCGATCGTCTCTCTCGGCAGCTCCAATCCATTCATCTTGTCTTTGTCCTGTCGTTTTATCAGATCATTATGGGTTTTGACACAATCACTTTAGAACCCCCAGAGGTCCAATTCATCCAATGTCCTGCCTCAACTGGCACACCCCGCACAATCCCAATGCATCCCCATATCTACAGCAATGGCATTATATGCCTTGACCTCCTGGGCTCCGCCGGTTGGTCCCCAGTGCAAACAGTTGAGAGCGTCTGCATGAGCCTTCAGAGCATGCTTACCGCCAACAATCGCAATGAGCGACCCGCCGGTGACCAGGAGTTCATTTCCACCAACCGCCGTCGCATCCGTGATATCAACTTCGTCTATGAGGATGATAATGTATAAATTTCCAGCTCCTCCCAGTTTGGAGCTGGTCCGAGGTGTGTTTGAAACAGGACCCATACATCGGCGTTTTCTGCATGGATGCAATTCCGCCCCTTGAGATTTGAGCGGCGGGATTTATATGGTCCCTGGTGACATTCTGCTTGATTTTCGCGTTTGCATTCATCCCGGCGCTGGCCAATTTTTGATCTCAATCGTGGAATGGGTGGCTTTCTTGCGGGCGTTTAAGGGTTTTCATTATTTAGCAATACGACCAATAAGAGAACCCTTTCTCTTTGAACAATATTTGGTAAGTAGAGTAGACAAGAGAGAAGAAATCAAGTAATAGAATCTACAGTATGAGCAATTGTCCGTTTTGTCCAGGGAACATGATAGCGGATGTCCAATGTGATTGGCCAGATCGCTTATATTTCCAGAGCCAGAATGGTGCAAATCATCCAAGCCTCAAGTATAAGAGCAAGCCAAAATTCTCAATGGTATCTGTCAAGTATTATTATCTTCAATATCAGAAATGGCTAATACTCAAATTGACCTTTTCCAGGGATGGCCTGCAACAGCCATGCTTCCAGTGGAACGCCTCAAACAAGCAGCCGACAACACCCTATCCAACAAAGTCATATTCACTGAAGGATTTGCCTATGGTCCCGACGAAGGCTACTTCCCCCTAAGAAAAAATATAGCCAACTGGCTATCCCGATACTATGCACCTGCACAGCCCATCAGCGCAGAGCGGATATGTATTACTGGCGGTGCCAGCCAGAATCTAGCATGCGTATTGCAGGTATTCACAGACCCAGCACAGACAGAGATTATATGGCTCGTGGAGCCAACGTATCATCTTGTCTTCTGGATATTTGAAGATGCTGGGTTTAGTGGTCGGATGCGGGGGATACCCGAGGACGAGGAGGGAATGGACGTTGCTGCACTTGAACGTGCTTTGGATGCATTTGAGCGTAGTGGAGACTCGGCCTCTCAAGATGACCAGGTATGTGCTCTTTCCATGCTAAGCTTCTTGTTTTCAGTATAACCCGTGCTAATGGAAACAGAAGAAGAGACACAAGCCCCATAGACCGTATAGAAAGATATACAAGCATGTCATCTATTGTGTTCCGTGTTTCTCTAATCCGTCGGGGACGACAATGTCTCACTCGCGGCGCGAGGCACTGATCAGAGTGGCACGGAAATACAATGCTCTTGTCGTCGCTGATGATGTGTATGATTTCCTCAGTTGGGGTGTGACACATCCTGCCAAACCTGTTTCATGTCCTCAGCTGCGTCTCGTGGATATAGATCGCGTGATTGATGGTGGTCCAGAAGATCGATTCGGCAATGTCGTGAGCAATGGATCCTTCAGCAAGCTTATTGGTCCGGGATGTCGAGTTGGATGGGCTGAAGGGACCGAAGACTTCATCCATGGTCTTTCTCAGGCGTGAGTCTTTATTCTCGGTTTGCAATGCTGAAAGTAAGCTGAAAATTTACTCGCAGTGGTTCTACGCGCTCTGGTGGTGCTCCTTCGCAACTAACGTCAACTTTCATCAATGAGCTACTTGAGGATAACTTCTTGCCTGAATATATTGCCAATATCATAGTCCCAGAAGGACGAAGAAGACATTGTCTTCTAGCATCGGCAATTAAGACGCATCTCGGTCATTTTGGCGTGTCATTTACTCCTGATCCGGAGACTAATCCAGTCGCGGGGGGATACTACATCTGGATTCAGCTACCGGCCGTATTGACCGCGACTCAGGTTTGCCAGGAGGCCCTAGAGCTGCAAAATTTGGTACTGGGTTGCGGTGAGACATTTGCAGTTCCTGGAGGGAATGCCCCAGGGGGAGATTTGCATCGCAGGCTGAGACTTTGTTTCATGTGGGAGGATGAAGGGCGGCTAGTTGAAGGGGTGGGTAGGTTAGGGCTTGTCATTCAGAGTATACTGACAAAAGTCAGATAGAAGAACATAGTTTGGTAAATCTCAACAAAATCCACGAACTGTATTTCCCACACAGTTCTAGATACATATGCTAAAAAGGCTTGCTATCGCAATCGTATATATCGCTTGTAAAAATTCCAAGTGTCCACCGTATAGTTTCAAACAGGAACGCGGCACGCCTCCGTCACCCGTAGAACCAATATTCTGCAGCATAGGCAACTTGAATCGTTGCATTTTGACCAGCGCACGTACATGGCGGGTCACCCTGGGATGTCACAACCCGGTAAACTTCCTATGTAGGACAATTCGGTCAGATATGTATACTCAGATCTGGTAGCCGTGGATAACCTGAGCTTACCTGAATGCCGCTTCCCTTCTTGTATCCTAGCTTAAGCCACGGAATATCGCCAGAGGATCCCGATGTCGATTTTGGTGCTGGAGTAGAGGCTATTTTCCAAGTAGCAACCCAGAAATCGGAGCCACTCAGTCCCATATCAAAGACCGGGTCTGCACCAGCGTCGAAGTAATGTTCGCCAATGATGATGTTGTCACTTCTCGTGCCCTGGGCCACAAGGGCTGCCGTGAATGCGAGAGATCCGAGAGGAGTGGCGCTGATAATCGCGGGGACTTCGTGGAGGAGAGCTAAAGATGACGATGCAATGCAAGAGGCGTCAAAGAGTGTAGCGGCTGCCCCTATGGCTTGCGGCTTGATGGTAGTTTGTGAATTCGAGGGAACATTCGATGGACAGGTATAGTTCTGTGTTCCTCGGCCCAACGCAACGTATTTGAGTCTCAAGTTCGTGGATGGTGCTGGAAGCGGTGACTTTGTCGCGTCCAATGGGAGGGATACATCTGCGAGAGAGCAATTTCCAAGGTTGATCTTGTCAAGTTGGTGGTAGATTTGGGAGAATGAGGAAGCAAGAGCCAGAGGATGAGGAAGACCCGAGTATCCTTGGACGTCTGCTACTACAAGGAGAAATGACAGCGCTAAGAAGTGTTTCATGGTGACCGGGTAATTTTGGATCTATAAGATGCAGACGGTTTCTAGAATATGCTCGAGCAAATCTAGTTCTGGGGCTGTGGAAAGGAACTGGGGTATAAAAACAAGGATAAAGCCAACAAAAAGGGATATATATCCCATTTAATAAATAGTCTGGTAGGGCTTCTGTACTATGTAACAAACGACATTCGGAGTTTGAGATATGCCGCACAGGTAGCAAGGCTCTCGGCGTAAACCGAATTCAACTAAGCCTAGTGGATTCTGCTTCAATGAACGTTTGAGGGGGCCAATGATAGATTCCATCTAACAGACGCCCCATCCACATTTGAGTTGTCTACATGGTACAGCTTGGAAAGTATCCGAGTCTGCTGACTGGGGACACTACCTAGGCTAATGGTGTGCTAGAATTGGCTTCTTTGTTGTCAACGCCACCTATCTTGAAAGGTTGCTGGAGAGATTGGAAATGAGATTTTATTCCTGTGTTGGTTAGAATGAAAAGGATGTAACCACAGGGCTTTATAGGTTACACTAGCACCGTTGTTGTTTACAGGCCGGCAGCAAACGGTCGCTTCGACGTTAGACAGTCTTGGAATAGATTGGAATATGAGTAATATGTGTGGGCTTTGTTGATGTAGCATACCAGTATACTTCACCCTGGGAAGCATATTGATCAAGGACATATTTCCGGGGCTTGGGATGTTGCAGGCGCTTATTTGAAGCCGCTACTATAGCCTAGGTCTATCATTGGCTATCGGAGAATTTTTTGTTCTTATCCCCAGTAGTATTAAGAAGCAATTAGACAATTAGTTTCAAGTGCGCAGGAAGACTAAAGTCTATGCAGACCTTCAATATCCCTGATACACCAGTTGTGGGACGTAAACAGACTATAAGCGCCCTCGCAGCGCCACAACTTTGAGTACCAATCGGGCAGCAATACATACATTTATGAGCCATAAAGCACAGTGTGGGAGTTGATCAAACAGGCATTATAGAGCGAAGAGCCGAAACGGCACTGGTAGGTAGAGATATCCATTGATGCTAACCCACTATTGGTAGTGGTAGCTCGAAGGGAGTTGGTGCTATGACAATGTAAAATGTTTTGGGGTCAAATTTTCTTTGAACAGGATACACCGTGTCTCATTAAGGCCTTTTTAGGCTGTTATTCCCTCCTGTTAGGTATCTTCGCCATAATCGTGGCAAGCCTTTCACCACCCTACCCGATCCCAAATTCCCACCAGATCCCAAAATTGCAAATTGGGTATCTTTTGCATGGCAACTCCATACAAACGGTACTTAGGCATAACGTAAGTATAACATCGATTTTCTCGACCCTTAAAAAGGCTAGGGGATGAAATAAGATATATATATATGTTGTAAATGGTGTCCTAATTATATGCTATTAACTATAGTAAGAAATCTCAAGTGTGTAATATAAGAGTCTTTTTATGCAATATTCATATGTGGCTTTTTTTTAAAGTGCTCTTCACAGTTCTATATAACATACTTAGAATCAATTCTAGCAGTAGATCGATTTAAATAGACTCACATTATAACTTAGGCTTTTTATTTTTCCTTTAGCTAGCTTAAGAGTTAAGCTATGCTCATATTGTGATTAAGTACCTTTTGTATAGTGTTGCCATACAAAACATACCTAATTTGCAATTTTGGGATCCGGTGGGAATTTGGGATCGGGTGGTGATGAAAGGCTTGCCACGATTATCGAGTATTCTCCGGTAGTCCAATCATCCACCACATACGACCTGCGCATGACAAATTCCCCTGTTGTCTCTCCCAGGCAGTGCTTCTTCCATATAGGATATGGTGCATTGAATCAGGCGCCAGTAAACAACACTACAACGGGATGGGTCGGACGGAGATAGTTCGGACAAAGAAATACGCGCTGACCACGTGCACGCTTACATCATACTGCGCACGTGATTTTGGTAGACACCCGTGACCCGACTCAAGAAGCTAAGGTGTCTAATCACGTGCTACCTAATCACGACCTTTTCATCACCAGGCGGCTAGCGACACAGCATCCTCAATCACCATTATTGTGACCGTTACAGCGGTTTCCAATCCGGATGTAGCTGCGGTGTTCCCTTCTGCGGTAATACAGGCTCACTCATATCCTCGCGACTTTTACATTTCGTCACCATGTCTGACGGTAAGTTTTCGCAAGCCTGTCCGCCTGGCTCCATACTGATCCCCACTGTAGCCGATATCGAGGCCGTTCGACGGCTCCAAGCTGAGCGCAATGCTGCTGCTGCTAGTCAGAAAGGCTCCAAAACCTTTGACAAGTCTTCCCAACGCACTGATAACTCAACCAAAGCCTCCCTAACGGAATCCTTCGACACGTTTTTGTACGAACGGGGTGGAGCGGATAAGTTTTCGGGCTACGATACTTCAATTGCTGTTGATGGCGATGAAGAAATGGAAGATGCGGATGGAGGTCACAATCTGGTTGGCCAATACACTGCTACTAGAAGCCAGATCGATGAGATGGCGCGCGGAACCGGCGTTGAGGAGGAGGATATTTTGCTAGGCCGCGAAAAGTCAGGGCGAATCGCGGACCGCGAGACAGACTACCAAAAGCGCCGATTCAACCGTGGCGCCCTTACCCCGACGCGCGCCGATCCCTTCGCTGCCAATGCCCACGCAAATGTTGAAGGAGAAAGTCAAACCTACCGTGAGGTCATGGCCCTGCGTGAGATGGATAGGGAAGAAGAGCGCGTGCAAAAGCTGATCGCAGAGAAGCGCGAGAAGGGTGAAGACGTCACGGAGCACAAGGCTACCTTGAAGATGGTGGAACACGACAAAGAAAATGCTGAGGCGGGTTCGACCGTTGCGGTGGCTACCGAAAAAAAGCGGAAGAACCGATGGGGCGAGCCTGCTGTCGAAACAGGCAAAAGATCGCGTTTCGATATGGCACCTGCTCCCGAAGAAGCACCCAAATCCGCCCGATCGAGATGGGACCTAGCGCCGTCTCTCACAGCTGCCACACCCGTTGGCAACCAAGGACTCGCCACTCCCATGCATCCATCCCAAGCAGGTGCCGCTACACCTGCAGTCGGTTTTGGGGTTGATGTGCCCGGTCAAACTGTCGGCTGGTCGGATGAAGATCTCGATATCATGCTTCCTGGCGAGGCCGATGGCTATAAGGTCCTTGACCCTCCTCCCGGGTATGAACCCATCCGAACCCAGGCCCGCAGGCTTATGGCCACGCCAGCACCCATTTCTACCGGTGGTGTCGGAGGGTTCATGATGCAAGAGCCAGAAAGTGTTCAGTCTGTAGGAAAGGATCTCCCGACTGATATCCCCGGTGTGGGTGAACTTCAATTCTTCAAGGCGGAGGATATGGCCTACTTCGGTAAGCTGATGGAGGGTGGGGATGAAACCAGCATGACCGTGGAAGAAATGAAGGAGCGAAAGATTATGAGATTGCTGCTCAAGATCAAGAACGGCACCCCGCCCATGCGCAAGACTGCTCTACGTCAAATCACAGACAATGCACGCGACTTTGGTCCCGGAGCTCTTTTCAATCAGATTCTCCCTTTGCTCATGGAAAGGACTCTGGAAGACCAGGAGCGCCATTTGCTGGTGAAGGTCATCGATCGAATCCTCTACAAACTGGATGATCTGGTCCGTCCCTATGTTCATAAGATTTTGGTCGTCATCGAACCACTTCTCATTGATCAAGACTACTATGCTCGTGTTGAAGGCCGAGAGATTATCTCGAACCTCGCCAAGGCCGCCGGTCTAGCTACAATGATCAGTACTATGCGTCCTGATATTGACCACGCCGATGAATATGTGCGAAACACGACAGCACGCGCTTTTGCCGTTGTGGCCTCTGCCCTCGGTATTCCCGCCCTCCTTCCTTTCCTCCGCGCTGTCTGCCGCAGTAAGAAGTCATGGCAGGCCCGACACACCGGTGTCAAGATCGTCCAACATATCCCTATTCTCATGGGTTGCGCTATTCTCCCTCATCTCAAGGAGCTAGTTGGATGTGTTGCAGCTAACCTCAGTGATGAACAAGCTAAGGTTCGGACCGTCACCGCTCTATCTCTGGCCTCTTTGGCTGAGGCTGCAAACCCATATGGTATCGAAAGTTTCGATGACATCCTGAGCCCTCTTTGGACCGGTGCCCGCAAGCAGCGTGGCAAGGGTCTCTCTGCCTTCCTTAAGGCTGTCGGCTATATCATTCCTCTTATGGACGAAGAGTATGCCAACTACTACACCACTCAAATCATGGAGATCCTTATTCGAGAATTCGCCTCACCAGACGAGGAAATGAAGAAGGTTGTCTTGAAGGTGGTTTCTCAATGTGCAAGCACCCCAGGTGTGACTGCCAGCTACTTGAAGGAGCACGTCTTGACGGAGTTCTTCAAGGGCTTCTGGATGCGACGTATGGCGCTCGATCGACGAAACTACCGCCAGGTAGTCGATACCACAGTGGACCTGGGCCAGAAAGTCGGCGTTGGCGAGATTCTCGAGCGCGTCGTCAACAACCTGAAGGACGAAAGCGAGCCATACCGCAAGATGACTGTGGAAACGGTCGAGAAATTGATTGCAGCACTTGGAGCCGCTGACATTTCTGAGAGGCTGGAAGAACGCCTCATTGATGGTGTCCTCTTCGCCTTCCAGGAACAAAGCATCGAAGACGTTGTCATTCTTAATGGATTCGGCACTGTGGTAAATGCACTTGGCACACGATGCAAGGCATATATTCCTCAGATTGTCAGTACTATTCTCTGGCGTCTGAACAACAAATCCCCAACTGTTCGACAACAGGCGGCCGATCTTATCTCCCGCGTTGCCCTGGTGATGAAGCAGTGTGACGAGGAAGCGCTCATGGGCAAGCTTGGTATCGTGCTGTACGAATACCTGGGTGAAGAATATCCCGAGGTTCTGGGCTCGATTCTGGGTGCTTTGCGTGCCATCGTCACTGTGGTCGGTATCACCCAGATGCAGCCACCCATTCGCGACCTTCTTCCCCGACT